AGAATGACGTACTGGCATAGTAAGAATTTTTGTAAACATAAATATGCACTGGCATAGTAAGAATTTTTTTTGTAAAAATAAAAAAACCAAAGGACCCTCAGTAGTCTACTGAGGCCATCAGTACTACTCAGGACCAATAATTCAGGACGCTAGCGTCGTAGCAGGTTTGCTCGATAAAGCCTTAAGGAAGCAGGATAAAAAAAAAAAAAAAAAAAACTCGGCAGGAAATAAAACGTTGATTGCGACTCTCACTGCTCAGGTTTGCATCGTATCCCATAATTATAAAGACGCGCCATGTTCACTTCGGTCGTTGTTATTTGGTCCTTGAGAAATTCCAATTCTCTTTCGTACACTGCTACCGCCTCGTTTGCTAAATTGTTAAAAATACTAGACTATACAAAAATAGAAAAGCGTAACCAATTCTGAAAAAAAGACGGTTCGCGGAAGATGAAAGCTCAAGACACTGACTATAGTGGATCTATTTCTGCGATATAAGTTACTGCCTTCTGCGATGATGCTTTCCTTACTTTTCGCTCAGAGACAATTCGGTCCGATTCTTACTGCTCATTTAGCCACAGTTCTGTCTGATTCTTACTGCCCAATACTACCGACATGTAAAAATCTAAAGACAGTAGAATAAAATAGGGTACACTTAAATCGAATTGGTTTTACGACGCCGAATTTTAATTCAACAACAAATCGAGGCAAAACTATCTGCTGACCGCTATAACCCAGGACATAATGCATTGGAAAAATATACTATTCAAATTACCACTTTTGTAGTTGTCTTCCAGAATATCTCGAGCTTCCGACAACGGAAATTCAACCATAACATTTGATCCAAGCCATAGCAATACCTGCAATGAAGTGAACAGCGTTCGGTCCAGGACGAAAAGTAGCCATGGCCACTTATAATTTGTGAAAAGACAAGGACGCCCTATCTGACTAATCAATTCTTCATCCTCTTCTATCTCTCATAACGCTAATCGCAATGTCTTAATGCCCACCCACTAGGGTCAAAAAGAAATAAACAGAAGCTCGCACCAGGGCTGCTAGGCTATGAAATTTACCACTAGAATTTCACGCATTAGTATGGGAAACGCAAATGTGAAAGCTGAATATGAAACATTGGATGGTGAACATTATTCCAAAACCTCAACCTCCTA